ATGTTCTCTGTCTCGTTTATTCATAAATTCTTCTCCTATCCATGTCTGATAGGGTAATATGTTTCATGTTTTTCTATTTTTCTTATATCTCCCTTTATATCTAGGTCATGCATCCATTTTGACCTTATTTTCTCAAATGGTATAAGATATTGGTCTATACCCAATTTCTGCCAGACTGCTTTCCAGTTTTCCCAACAATTTTTTACCAAATAGTGAATTCTTATCCCAAAATCTTAAATCCTTACATTTGTCAAACAGACAGTTACTATTATTATTTACTACTGTGTATTGTATGTCTATTCTGTTACACCTTTCTATTTCTTAGCCAGTACCAGATATTTTCATAATTATTACCTTATAATACACTTTAAGATCTGGTACTGCTAAACCTCTTTCCTTTACATTTTTTTCATTCATTCCTTTGATATTCTTGACCTTTTATTTTTCCAATGAATTTTGTTATTATTTTTTCTAGCTCAATAAAATTTTGGGGGATAATTTAATTGAGACAGTATTGAATAAGTAGATTAGTTTAGGTAGAATTGTCATTTTTATTATATTGGCTCTACCTACCCATGAACAAATTTTATTTCTCTAATTATTTAAATCTGACTTTAGTTTATAATTATGTTCATGTAGTTCCTGGGTTTGTCTTGGCAGGTATTTTATATTGTCTATAGTTATTTTAAATGAGGTATCTCTTACTATTTCTTCTTGCAGAACTTTGTTGGTAATATATATAGAAATGTTAATGATTTATATGGGTTTCTTTTATATCCTACTACTTTGCTAAAATTATTGTTTCAACTAACTTTTTAATTGAATCTCTAGGATTTTCCAAGTATATCATCATATCATCTGCAAAAAGAGTTTTATTTCCTCATTACTCATTCTGATTCCTTCAATTTCTTTTTCTTCTCTTATTGCTAGCATTTCCAACACCATATTGAATGATATTGGTGATGGGCATCCTTGTTTCCTTCCTGATCTTATTGGGAAGGCTTCTAGTTTATCCCCATTAGAAATAATGCTTGCTGATGGTTTTAGGTAGATGCTTTTTATCAATTTAAGGACAAATCCATTTATAGCTATGCTTTCAAGTGTTTTTAATAGAAATGAGTGCTGTATTTTGTCAAAGACTTTTTCTGCATATATTGAGGTAGTCATATGATTTTTGATGTTTTTGTTATTAATTATATCAATTATGTTAATAGTTTTCTTTATGTTAAACTATCCTTGCATTCCTGGTGTGAATCTTGCTTGGTCACAACGAATAATCTTTGTGATATATTGTTGCAGTTTCCTGCTAATATTTTATTTAGGATTTTATTCATTAATGAAACTGAACTATGATTTTCTTTCTCTATTTTTGCTCTTTGAGAACTCACTATTCAACACAAACTTCTGGGAAAGTTGTAAAACAATCTGGAAAAAAGTAGGCTTGGATCAACATCTTACATCATATACAAAGATAAGTTCAAAAGGAGTACATAAATTAGATATAAAGGGTGATACCATGAGCAAATTAGGAAAGCAAGGGAAAAATTACCTGTCAAATCTATGGATAGAGAAAGAGATTATGACCAAATGAGATAGAGAGGCTCACTAGAGGTAAAATGGATAATCTTGATTACATGAAATTAAAAAGCTTCTATATAAACAAAGTCAAATATAGCCAAAATTAGAAGGAAAGTAGGAAATAATGGGAATTTTTTTTTACAGGAAGTTTCTCTAATAAAGGCCTCATTTCTCATATATATAGTGAACTGAGCTAAATTTATAAAAACAAGAGTCATTCCCCAATTGATAAATGGTCAAAGGATATGAACAGGCAGTTTTCAGAAGAAGAAATCAAAACTATCAATAGTCATATGAAAAAATGCTCTAAATCGCTAATAATTAGAGAAATGCAAATTAAAACACATCTAGGATGCCACCTCATACTTATCAGACTGACTAAGATGACAGAAAAGGAAACTGACAAATGTTGGAGGGGATGTGGAAAAGCAGGGATGCTAATACACTGTCGGTGAAGTTGTGAACTGGTTCAATCATTCTGGAGAACAATTTGGAACTATGTGCAAAGGGTCATAAAACTGTGGTGTTCTTTATTTAAGGTGCACTTTGTGATACAGTCTCTACAAGTCTTTTGTGTGCTCTAGTGGAGTTGATCTTCAGATATTTTATATATTCTGCAATTATTGGAATGGAGTTTCCCTTTCTATTATTGCTTGTTGGATTTTATTTTTATATAGAAATTGATTTTTTGAAGTTGTATTTTGTAGACTGTAACTTTGCCTAATCTAGCACCTCAATGAGCATCTTTGATTGTTCCTTAGGGTTTCCCAAGTATACTATCATATCATCAGTAAATGGGGATAGTTTCATCTTCTCTCTACCTATCTTTGTGCTTTTAATTACTTTCTCTTATTGCTGTTGCTAGCATTTCCAGAACTATGGGGGGTGGGGAGAGGTGGGGGAGTGGGCAACCTTGCTTTACTCCCATATTTATTGGAAAAGGTTCTAGTGTATCCCCATTGCATACGATGCTTGCTTTTGGTTTTGGGTAGATGCATATATTTATGTATTTACTTTTAGTTTTCAACATTCACTTCCATAAGATTTTGAGTATAAAATTTTCTCCCCTTCCCTCTCCTTCCCCCTCCCCAAGACAGCATGCAATCCGATATAGGCTCTATTTATGCATTCATATTAAACATATTTTCACATTAGTCATGATGTAAAGAAGAATTAGAACTAATGGGAGGAACCACAAGAAAGAAGAGACAAAACAAAACAACAGAAGAAAAAGAGAGCAAATAGTATGCTTCAATCTGCATTCAAACTCCATAGTTCTTTCTTTGGATGTGGACAGCATTTTCCATCATGAGTCTTTTGGAGTTGTCTTAGATTCTTGTATTGCTGAGAAGGGCTAAGTCTATCAAAGTCAGTCATTGCACAACATAGCTGTTACTGTGTACAGTATTCTGGTTCTGCTTACTTCACTCTGCATCAGTCCATACAAGTCTTTCCAGGTTTTTCTGAAGTCCCCCTGCTCTTCATTTCTTATACCACAATAGTATTCCATTACATTCATATACCACAACTTGTTCAGTCATTCCCCTATTGATGGGTATCCCCTCAATTTCCAATTCTTTGTCACCAGAAAAAGAGCCGCTATAAGTATTTTTTGTACATGTGGGTCCTTTTCCTGTTTTTATGATCTTTTTGGGATACAGACCTGGAAATGGTTTTGCTGGGTTCAAGGTAGATGCTATTTTTTTTTAAACGCTTCTCTATGCCTATACTTTTTAGGATTCACAAGAAAAAAATATTTTAAAATTGGCATTCCTAAGACAGAAGTCTATCCATGTCAATCACCACTTCATAAGTCTTAGAGGCTGCCCTCCTGCCTTTGGGGGGATAAACACCAACTCCTCAGCCTGGCATTTGAACCCCTTTGCAACAGGGGCAGCTAGGTGGCACAATGGATAGAGTGGTGGGTCTGTAGTCAGAAGGACCTGAGTTCAAATCCAACCTCAGGCACTCACTAGCTGTGTGACCCTGGGCAAGTCACTTCACCCTGTTTGCCTCAGTTTCCTCAGCTGTAAAATGAGCTGGAGAAGGAAACGGCCAACCACTACAGTATCTCTGCCAAGAAAACCCCAAATGGACTCAGGAAGAGTCAGACACGACTGAAGCACCTCAACAACAAGAACCATAAACAACCATCTGAGGCAAAGCTCTCCTTCCATTGCATGACTTGCTAAGGAATGTTAAGGGCTGTTGCAAGGCAGTGTCTCCTGGACTTGTTTTGGTTAACAGGCTGCACTGCTAGCTTTGCCCCAAGACACCACTTCACTTCTTGAGTCCCTGGGGTCTTTGCCCAGGCCTGGAGCACGCTCTGCCTCCTCACCCAGGCCAGCATCTTGCAATCTTGACCGGGCACAACTTCCTTCCCAAAGGCTTTGCTGCTTCCTGCCCAGAGGGGGCGCTGTCTTGGGTCCACCAGCAGAATGGAAGCATCCTGAGGGAAAGCCTCTTCTTGCTCTTGTCATTGTGGGGTGGGGGTGGGTGTAGATAACCATCAGCTAGCATAGAGGAGGCACTTAGTAAATGCTTATTACTGAACTGAAGGCTCCAGAGTCCCTCAGTTAACCTCTCTGGCGGATGCTGGTCCAGACCAGACCTGGTACAGAGGAAAAGGCCTGGGATTTGGAGTCAGATCCGGGTTCGAGTCCTGCCTCCTCTCCCTGGGCCCTTTTTTTCATCTGTAAAGGGAAGGGTGGTGAAGGGAATGAAACCTACTATGTCCCAGGTTCTGTGCTAAGTGCTTTATAAACATCATCTCATTTGAGCCTCACAACAACCCTGGGAGGTAGGTGCTGTTATTGTGCCCATTTTACAGATGAGGAAACCGAGGCAGGCAAAAGTCAGGAGACTCGCCCAGTGTGAGGCCACACTGGAACTGGGGTCTTCCCGACTCTGGAAGCCCTGGCTACTCTACGGAGGTGGAGACAGAGGTGTAAGTGCCCATGGCCCCTAGGGGGCAGCGCCATGCTGGCCTCCAGAGTTAAGCCCGGCCCCCTCAGGCTCCACCCACAAGGGCACTTCCGGCCCTCAGCCCAAGGCCGGTGGAACTCGGGCTAGGCCTGGGAAGACTCCGAGAGAAGCCGACTGTTGGCGCCGCGGGACTGTTCGGGAGCCACGCCTGGCAGCCGGGGCGCATGCGCAGGTGACTGCCGGTTGGGCTGGTGGGGAGGAGGGAGGAGGTGGCGCCGAGGCCCCCACGGGGCGTGCGGCTGCTGGGCCTGACCGCGCACTGCGACGGCGGGCGAGGGGAGGGTGGGGCTCCGCGAGCACGCGGCTGGGCGCCCCCTCCCCCACCCCGGGGGCTGGTCCGCTGACGGAAGCGGCTGCGCGCGAGCCTCGTCCTGGGCGCCTGGTCTGCGGGCCCCTGCCCCGGAGCGCGCCCGGCGCAGCTCGGCCGCCGCCGCCACCACGTACGTGTGCACGCCGGGACCCCCACCCTCTTCCCAGGGACCCCTGCCCGCCGTGACTCGCCTCTGCGACCCCTCCCCGTGATTTCGGTGACTCTCATTTCTGAGACCCCTCCCCATGATCCCCTCGCCGTGGTCTCCCCTCGGTGACCCTCGCCTCTGAGACCCCTCCCCAAAATCCCCTCCCCGTGATCTCCTTTTCTCCTCAGAGACCCTTCTCTGTGAACTCCCCTCGGTGACCCTCATCTCTGAGACCCCTCCCCATAATTGGCCCCCAGACTCCTCCCTGGGATCTCCCCCACCCCTGTGATTTGGGTGACTCGTTTCTGAGACCCCTCCCCAAAATCCCCTCCCCGTGATCTCATTATCACCCCAGTGACCCTTCTCTGTGAACTCCCCTCGGTGACCCTCAAATCTGAGACCCGTCCCCACGATCCCCTCCTCCCCCCAAATGCCCCTCCCCATCCTCTTCCCTCTGAGACTCCTCTCCCATCACTTCCACCCTTAAATCTCCCACCCCATCTTCTCCTCTCTTGTGACTCTCCCATCCAGGAGACCCTCCCCCCATCTTCTCCCGCCCCTATGACCACAGCCGCATGATCTCTCTCCCAGCGGCCCCTTTACCCATCACCTCCAGTCTCTGCCCCCATCTTCTGGGGGACCCTGAGCTCATATTTCCTCCCTGCGATCCCCCGAACTCTCCGTCCCCTTGTCCTCCCTCCCTGTGCCCAGTCTTCTCTCTGTGACCCCATGAATCCCTGTCCCATCCCCCTCTTTCTCTGTCTCTGCCCCCCAAACCCTTTCCTCTTACCCACTCATCACCTTCCCTTTCTGTTAATCCTCCCTGTGTTCCTCAACCACAGTGCCCCACATACAGTAGGCGCTTAATAGGTGGGTATTGACTCTTGACTCTCCCCTAAATGTCTCTTCCCCAACCTCCTTACCCCATTGCCTAGCCCTTCTGTTAGATGCCCACTTCCTCACCCTTTCTTTCTGACCTTGTGATGGATGGGATCCTATCCATCCCTTTTCTCCATCATCCTCATCCCATTTTGGCTCTCCTCTCCTGCCTTTGCCTTGATCCCTCGCAGGCCCCGCAGCTTCTGACCATGGCCCCTCTTCCATCTGCCCTCTCCCTAAGGTAGAAAGAGCGCTTGTAGAAAGAGAGTTTTAAATCAGAGTGTCTGGGTTCTCTGCTACAGGAGTCCTTACCCAAAGTTCCTTCTCTAAGCCTTTTGTTTTTCTCATTTTAAAAGACTTTTTTGGAGTTGGAAGGGATCTTTTGGATCAGCTTGGTCAAGCATGGGGTGGTGGATCCTCTAGACTTTGTGGGGGGGGAGTCAGGAGACTTGGGATGGAATTATAGTTATGACACTTCTGGTGAGCTATGTGATGGTGGAAAAACCCTCCATTTGTTTGTAGAATTGGGATAATGATACTTGTATACAGTAACATCATAATAACATGCCTGAGTCCTTTTTGTGGCCTGGAGGTGACCCTGGGTTCTTGAAGGCTGGCTCCTTCAACTACACGGAAAGGCTTTAAGTAGATTCCTAGCCACAGATGATGTCAATTGTCAGGCAACTGACCCAACTGAGTACAGAGGTAAAAATAAAAACATGTTGTGGCATACCTAGGGCATCTTCACTTGTAGACCAGCTGTCAGAGACCTGTAGCTGATGTCTCAAGATCTGTGACAAATTCTTGGAAGAAATTATAAGATCTTAAAAAGCAAACCAACACAGCCTCGAGTACTTAGTGACTAATGCAAAGGAGGGCTGGGTTAGGAGAACTAGAGAAAATATTTCTGTGTACCTGGTCATCCCATCACCTTCTTTTGTTGAGTCGTTTTCAATTCTGTCTGACTTTTCATGAGCCCATTTGGAGTTTTCTTGGCAAAGATACTGGGGTGGTTTGCCATTTCCTTCTCCAGCTCATTTTACAGATGAGAAACTGAGGCAGACATGGTTAAGTGACTTGCCCGGGACCATGCAGCTAGTAAGTGTCTGAAGCCAGATTTGAACTGAGGTCTTTCTGACTCCAGGTCTAGCCACTGTGCCACTTAGCTGCCCCCATCACCTTCTTAGGACAAAAAAGTCGACAGCAAATTAGAGGAAACAATAAAAATAAAAAATTAGGAGAGATGGCTTACTGTTGAGACAGTTCTCTCCTCTGCTGTTTCAGTGAGTTGCTAATATTGACAAATATCCTTCCTGGTTCCAGGTTCATGTTCTTGGCATCATCCTGGTTTCTTCACTTTCCCTCGCCTGCCCTGGCTGAGCAGTTTCTGCCTTCAGAACATGGTTCACATCTGACACCTTCTCTCACAGCTTCCACCTTACTTCAGGCCCTTATTAGTCTCCTAGTGGGTCTCCCTTCCTTGAGTCTCTAACCATTATGGGTCAGCCTTCACTCTCCTGCCAAAGTCTTTCTTACTCTCCCAGCAGTCCTGCCTAGCCTGGCCCCAGTGTGTCTTTCCAGCCTCGTAGAGTGTTACCTCCAATCCCATACTCTCTTATCCTGCTGATGCTCTCCCTAGAAAAATATGTACGGTACAAATGTCAAGAGAGTAGTTAATACAAGTATTTGTGGAGAAGACACCACCAGCTGGGGGACTCAGGAGAGGCTTCATGAAGAAGATGGTGCTTGAGGGGTATCATAAAGGAAGAGAGGGCCTCTATGATCTGAAGTTCAGAGAGTCCATTCCAGGCATGGAGGCCAGCCAATACAAAGGCAAAGGGGGGGAAAGGGAGTTTCATGAGTGAGGAATAATTGCATGGAGGCCTGTTCCACAGCTTGGACAGCTTGGCACCATGGATAGAGCACTCAGCAGTGCCTGGCACACAGTAGGCACTATATAAATCTTAGCTGCTATTATAGGTACTCCCCCATTAGAACATGAGCTCAGTACCAGGGAGGATTGTCTCAGTATTGTTACCTGTGTCCCCCTTGCTACTTGCATCCCCAGTGCCTAGCACGTGATAATTGCTTAATAAATAGTTGTTGATTGATTTGAATCTGATATACAGTTGGAAGGAAAACCCATAGAGAAGAACAGGCTAGCTTGCCCTTGGGAATTGTGCAGTGCTGTTAATGACCCCAAGCTTCTCCTTGAAACTAAGGCTCATCTTTTTTTTTTTTTTTTTTTTTGTTTGAGGCAATTGAGGTTAAGTAACTTGTCCAGAGTCACACAGCTAGTGAATGTTATGTGTCTGAGGCTGGATTTGGACTCAGGTCCTCCTGACTCCAGGGCAAGTGCTCTATCCACTGCGCCACATAGCTGCCCCTACTCATCTTTTTAATACCAGTAGTCATCCAATGATGATATAGAGCTATTTAAAAAACATTTTTTTCTATACTGAGTCTTTTTTTTTAATTCGGTTAATAAGCATTTTTTCTTTTCCAATTAGAAGAAAGAAAAAAAAACCCTTGTGTCAAATAATGGCTAGCATTTAGATAGCACTTTTAATGTTTGTGAAGTGCCTTGCAAATGTTATTTCATTTGATCCTTACAACAACCCTGGGAGATAGGTGCTATTGTCACCCTCATTTTGCAGATGAGAAAACTGAAGCAGGCAGGTTAAATGACTTTCCCAGGGTCGTAGCTAGTAAGTGTCAGAGGCCAGATTCAAACTTGGGTCTTCCTGACTCCAGGCCCATTACCCTGTTTACCACATCACCTTGCTGCCTCTGACAAATATATGTGATCAAGCAAAACAGATTCCCACATCGGCCATGTCCAAAAATGTATTCCTGGTTCTGATGCTATATAGCTATGAGTCATATGTACCCAGTTGTAGCTTTGGAGGCCGGTCTGTAGCCGTCAAATTAAGTCATAGGTCTTTCAAAGGAGTATCGAGGTATGGAGGCGATTGGAATAATTGGGAGTAGAGTTAGGATGCTTACAAGCATTGTGACCAGAGAAAGTCTGTTAACCTTGCTAAGCCACAGTGCCCTCATCTGTAAAATGGGGATGATAATACCTTCCTTGCTGAGTTCTGAGGCAAGCTCAAATCAGATAGTGTACTTAACACCCTTGGTGATTATATGAATGTTAGCTCTTTCGGGTACGAGCAGCCTGTGGTGTATCTCCAGTGACAGCCTATTGAGAAACAATAGAACAGGTCATGTCCCAGAGATGGGCCTGTAGTAGGAGGTGATTGAGCTAGCAGCCGTGGCCTGTGTGCTCACGGGTGGCTGGATGGCCCCCCAGGGAGGACGTGGAGAGGAGCTGGGCTGGTATGGCAGCCCTGGCCCCAGTGCTCAGTGGTACCGACTGAGGGGAGAGGATGTGGGGAGGAGCTACACTTGGCTACGTGTCTCCTCCCAACCTGAGCCCTCCTGCTGCCTGCCCCCTAGCTGAGCTCTCTCAGTTTTTCCCATCCCACCTATGGGGTGATCTTCTCCCTCATCTCTCCTTAGCCAAACTCTGCCTCTCTCTAGGCTGCTTTTGGGCCCACCCACTCCAGGAATTCTCTGTTCTCCTGGGCCTGCCCTTGTTGATACTCGTCCTTTGTTTCTTGCAGGAAACATGGAGGAGCTGAGTCAAGCCCTAGCAAGCAGTTTTTCAGTCTCCCAAGACCTGAACAGCCCCTCGGCACCTCACCCTCGCCTGTCACAGTACAAGTCCAAGTACAGCTCCTTGGAACAGGGTGAAAGGCGCCGGAAACTCCTGGAGCTTCAGAAGTCGTATGTGAACCCGTCATTTATCTCTTTAGCACTTTCAGCTCTGTAGACACGCTGCCCCTTTCACTGTTAGCTATGTACTCCAGTCCGAAGATCCTTTTTCTTCCTGTCTGGCAGTGGTGGGAGGCTTTTCAGGCCGGGGCTTAGGAAAAGATGAGGGACATGCTATTCCAGCTCTTCTATAAGCCAGAGCCATCTGTTTGAAAAGTCCCAGCTTAACTATTTGTTTAGATTCTGCTTTATCTTGGAGGACGAGGTACAGAGCTTGATTAGATCATTGAAACTTCATTACTCTGTTCCCTCTGGGTTCCCACCCCCTCATGCGGCTGACATGTGGATTCTATTGCCCTGGGAAGTTTGGCTTTGCTGCATATTTCCTGTTCTCCTTCCACTTGAATGTTTCCGCTAGGCACAGGGGAGTTAAAGAAAAGTAATTCCACAGTGAGCCAGAGGAAATGTCTTCCATACGCTTAATCCAAAATGCCATGATGAGCAAAGCACGCTAGTAGAGAGGATGCAGGATAGGGTCATGTGACAAGGAGGTGCCCCTAGGGCAGGGGCCTGTAATTTTATGCAAAGGGCACTGTGGGCATCTCCACGTGATAAATAGCACTGAGTCTGATCTTAGAAGAAGGAAGAACGACTTGGGTGTCCCTTGGGTGTCAGGGCATGGACGTAGGTATTTAAAATCATGTTGTGTGCTTGGAAGAGTGAATCCTAATAGTACTCTGAGTGTCTCCCCCCTAGAATGCATTAAAAGTGCTTGAAGGTGGCTGTTTGTATTTTCCTGTGCCTAGCACAGCATGTTGTATATAACCAGTGGTTAATATATGTTTGCATGAATAAGTAAATGAATGAATAATGTTCAGAAAACAAAAATAGTATGGACACACGGATCCCAGCTCTTTCTTTTAAAGTTTGAAAGGGAATTTGGAGGTATCTGATTAATCTTTAATTGCTCGTAGTTTGTTTCTGTCAAGTTTTTAAAACCCATTTTAAAAAATCCATCTTTAAAAAGTTACCTGAATGTTACTTTTTTGAAAGTCCCAAAGGGACTGGTAAAAGGCTTGCCTTCTCCCCGGAAAGCCTGAGGGAAACACCAAGCTAAATGTCCCTAGCGTGTCTCGCTCTGTCTTCCTTTTCCCCGAGGTTTTTGTTCTTCCTGGTCCTCGTTAATCTGAAATGGAGCGTCTGCAGATTCACAGCCGCAGCTCCGAATTGAAGAGCCCAGCCTTTCTACTTGACAGATGAACCAAGCAAAGGGCATTCCTGAATCCTGCTTGGAAAATTCATGTTCAAATGTCTGGACTTATTTAGAAAACTCATCCCTTGTTAAGTTACTGAGAAAGTGATCGCTCTGCTGCTTTCTGGCTGAATCCCCATGTCACCCCCTTCTCTGCTTCCCAAACATCCCTTCTGCTGTGCCAGCATTTGAAGCCTCTTCCTTGTTAGCATGAGGTTACAGACTTTGAAGAAAATGCCTTGTGCCTCTTTTTTTTTTTTTTTAAAGCAAGCGACTAGACTATGTGAATCATGCCAGGAGATTGGCCGAGGATGACTGGACGGGGATGGATAATGAAGACGATAAAGAAGAGGAAGGGATGGATGTTGACACTGGCAAGAAGCTGCCAAGGCGCTATGCTAACCAGGTGAGCCGTCTGCTGGGGTCTCTCACGCCCCTCTGAGGCTGGTGACACAGTTCCAAGAAATATGTACGGGTGATGGTGTTCCTTAGGAGTTGGCATTGGGCAGGGTGTAGCCAAGGCATGGGGGTATGTCAGCGTGGCGCAGATGAAAGGAAGCTAACCCATTTTTACATGCATTTGTGGGAAAGGGCAGAATTTCAGAGTTGTAGGGGACCCGAGAGGTTGTCCTGGTCAACTTTCTCATTTTACAAGATTGGAAACTGAGGTCCAGAAACAGTGAAGGACTTACCTAAAGTCCCAGAACTTCTTAGGGGTGAAGCCAGGACTAGAATCTTGATTCTTCAGTCCATTTCTTTCTGCCATACCACACTACCTTCTGTGTTTTTTATATGTTATGGCATGTAAAAATATATATAAAAAATATAGGCCTTCTTGAGCATGTAGAAGAAAATTTAAGGAAGGTTTATTCAAGTAACATCGTACTCATCTAGCATTATTGTGGCATGAGGGTCCACGGATGAACTTCCCAGTGCTTGAAATATTTGCTACTAAAAAACTCATTTTAAGCCTCTCGTTTGTTTTACATCTTTGCCTCCTTCCTTAACCATCTCTGTCTCATGTAGTTTAACTTTTCTTTCATGACCCATACATCCTTCTGAGTATCCTTGCTAGTCTGTGCTGAAGAACAGGGATGCCTCTGGGGCAGGAGTGGGAACCTGTGGCCTTAGGGCCACACGAGGCCTCGAGGCCACGTTCCCACCCCTGCTGTAGGGGTATTGTTGGCTTCTTGGTCTTCTGTCTTTTCCCTCTTCTGTAGCAGTCACGTCTGGTGACCTAGCAGGTCTGCTGCTTTGTTTTACATAGCATTTCTCAGGTGACAACATAGAAACGGCCTTGGCTTTTCTTAGAAAGAATGTGCATGGGCTTTGTGATGGTTGTTTTTGCCCCTCAGAGGTCTTTTGGACCTAGGTGCTGTAATTGTGCTATTTGGGTAAGTGGAGAATTATTGTACTATTAATCATTTTTGGAAATGAAATCAAGATTTCTTATGCAGGGCGGTAAGCTGTTGAAGGTACAGCATGAGAGTTTAGCCCTGGTGTCGTATTCCTTAGGGGCACAGAGATGCAGATTGGTCTGTGTTCGTGTGCTTCTGGTGGCTGGGCCAGGAATTGCTTTGTCAGTGTTTTCAAGGGGTGACTTTGTCCAGAGAAGCAAGAGCAGCAGCATGTCAAATGCCGTTATACAGCCGGCTCAGTGCAGGCCCCTACCCACCCCTCCTTCCGCCCCCTAAAAAAAAGGCTTTTATAATACTCGGAGACCTCAGATGCTGCCATCCTTAGAATGACCTTCCTGTAAAGGAAAAGATCACATCTTTCAGGAGCAAAGTGCCTTATCCCAAGGTGCCAAGTTTGTGATGGTGCCCAAAGGACGAATGTACGCATATTTAGGAATCATTTATGAGCATTTACAGAGAGCTGCAAATTTTGAAAGTCTGTCATAGTTATGTCCTGGTTATTCTTCCCCACGTCTCTGAAAAGATCCATTTGCAGGGCAGTGTGAATTGGTGTCTAAATCCCAGGCTTGGAATCAGACGCACGCTTGAGTCTTGTCCTGGCTGTGTCAAAGGCGGAATAGAATAACTTGAGTGAATCCTTACTGACTCCTCACCTTTCAAGGGAAGATTCCTGACCTCTCAGAAGAGCAGTCTAGAAAATGATCGTAGAGAAAGCCCAGACTGGTAGATGCTGAATAGAACTAAATTGAAAGTCGCCCCCTTTGGAGAATGTTGTAATCCGGAGGGCACCTTAAAACCAGTTCAGCTGAGTATGGGATTCAGAGAATGAAAGTTGGGAGCCAGCAAGCAAAGGGATCCCTGGTCTTGAGAAAAGAGCGGAGGAAGTGGAATGGACGACACGACCGTGTGGTGCCAACAGACGTGGAGGTCATCCACAGGCTGACCGAAGGGCGAGCGGGGGAGCCTTGGCAGGGAGAGTGCCCTGGCCGTGGGTGCACGGAGTGGAAACCATTTGTTTGGTGGGCAGGGGAGGGAGCAGAGCTTAGGTATGAGGGGGCTTGATGGTGGGGAAGATTTAGGAACCGAGATCCAGGAGCGCCACTTCCTAAAGGCTTTAGCCCTGCCAGAGAAAGTCCCTGAGCAGCTGACTCAGATGATCCCGACCTGCTTGCTCGCCGTTTATTTGATATTGGTTGTCCAACTTTTTGGCATGAACTAGGCCAATCTAGAAAAGTTACGGCAGGGATTGGTAAGCTTTGCCTCCCTCCTCGCGGTAGAGCCAGGAAGACCTGAGTTCAACTCTGGCTTTAGACACTTGCTAGCCGTGTGACCCTGGGCAAGTCACCTAGTCCCTAATTGCTCCAGTTTCCTCACCTGTAAAATGGGGATAATAACAGCGCCTGTCTCCCAGGGTTGTGGTAAGGATCAGATGAGTTAAGGTTTGTAAAGCTCTTAGTGCCGTGTCTGGGCCATAGTAAGTGCTGTAGAAATGCTTATTCCTTCCCCTCTACTCCCCTTGCCCCTTCCCCATCCCCTCTGTGGGAAAAGAAGAAAGAAAAACAGGGCCCTAGGAACAAATGTGTGTGGTCAGATAAAATAATTCTCCCGCTGACCATGACCCGTGACATCTCCCATTCTGCACCGCTCTCGGGTGCTGGGTTGTGTTTTTCTTCAGTCCTTGAATCATGGCCAGTCATTGATCATAGTTTTGGTTTCTTTCAGAATTTTTCGTTTTTACAGTGTTGCTGTATTATGTAGAAAGCCTTCTCCTGATTCAGCTCACTTTGCTCTCAGTCTTGCCAGATTTCTCTGAAACCTCTTTTCATTCTTATAGGATAATTGCATTCCCTTCCGTATACATCCCATCATTTGTTCAGCCATTCTCCAGGTGATGGATGGCAGCCTCTCTTCAGTGGGGTCTCAGGTTAGCATGTAACTCAAGTTTGTTACTCCTTTTCCTGTGGAGGAGAGGAGAGGAGAGGTGACAGCTCCCCAGGAGAACGCTTGCTTCTGGAGCCCAGTTGAACCCTTTCATAGTAATATAGTTAAGGCTGTCCTGGGTGGGTCATGCTTCTATGAGCCCTGGGGCTTTGCACATGCATTCCAAGTTTGGGAACACATGGTCCTGTGGGAAGAGCCTTTCTTTATAGTTTTGGGCTCCAGATCACTCTAATCTTAAATGCCAATTTAACTAATAATTCAATTACTAAATAAAAGCTGGTAGTTCATTAATAATACCTGAATTATCTGTAACATTGTTACATCTCAGTGCTTCGTGACCACAGAATTATTCCGTAAATGCAGTGTCCAGAATGATGGAGGTGAGAGTCCTGCACTCTCCTCTATCAGAGCATAGCTGGAGTTTTGAGTTCTTTCTGGATATTTTAGGAAGGAAATTCACAAGCCTGAACAGCTCTAAAGAAGGCTGGTTAGGGGGCCTTGTAAGAACTTGTAAGAACTGGTTGAAAGAACTAGGAGTGTTTGGCTTAGAAAGGAAAAGATTTAGAAGAGACATGATTGCTGTTTTAAACTATTTGATGGGCTGTCATATGGATGAAAAATTGTTTTATTTGTCCTACAGCATAAAAACTAAGACCCATAAGTTTAGACAGGTCTGTGACAAAATCCTTTTGTTAAAAAGAAATTTTTATTAATATCTTTAGGTTTTTTGTATTCCTAAAATTTCTCCCACTGTCCCTTACACTTCAACCCTTCAGAGAGCCATCCCATATAAAATGGAATATTGAAAAAAAAAATAGAAAAGAAATGATAAAAAAAAGTCTGAAAAGTATACCTCTCACCTCTGCAAAGGAGCAAGGTAGGGGTGTCTTCTCACTTCTCTTTTTTGGAGCCATGTTTATCTTTGTAATTTTGCAACAATCACTTAAAATTTTTTAAAAATATATTTTCAGTTCCAAATTTTCTCTCTTCCTCCACTCCCTACCCCACCCATTGGGAAAGCAAGAAATATGATACTCTTTATACATAAGAAGTTACGCAAAACATTTTTCCACCTTAGCCATGCTGCAGGAAAGAAAAGCAAGAAAAATATAGTGGAAAAACAATATGCTTCAGTCTGCACTAAGAGTTCATCAGTTCTCTTTCTGGAGGTGGATAGCATTTTTTTATCATGGGTCCTTTGGAACCTTCATGGATCATTGTCTTGATCAGAGTAACTAAATCTTTCACAGTAGATCATCATTAACAGTATTGCTGTTATGCTGTACGTACAACTTTCACTGGATTGTCTTGTGATCCTTTTGCCTTTTGGTAAACTTGGTATCCATTTACCTCTTGGTAAGTTGGTATATTAGTTAAATTGGTATATTGTTTTCTTGGCTCTACTTCATTCTGCATCAGTTCATGTAAATCTTTCTACATTTCTCAGTATTCATGTATATCATTTTTGATAACAATACTATTCCATTACATTCATGTACAATGATTTCTTTAGCCATTCCCTAATAGATGGACGTCTACTTTGTATCCAATTCTTTGCTATAACCAAAGTGCTACTATCAAAATTTTAAAGAATAGTTAGTACTAGTACTACACAAAATTGAGAAAGAAAGCACTCTACCATATTTCTTTCATGAGACAAATATTGTTTTTATACATAAGCCATGAAGGAACATAGAAGGAGGAACATAGACCAGTATCATTAATGAATTTGAAATATTTTAAGTAGATTGCAGCAATTCAAAATCATTTATTTTGAGCAAGTTTTGGAAAACAGTTAACATTATTCATCATATTAAAAACAAAAACAAAAAAGCACACGTTTATCTCAATAGATGGCAGAAAAAGTCTTTAATAAAGTACATGCTCATATGTGTTAAAAATTCTACAAAGCATAGATATAGAGGGACCTTTTTTAAAATCACAAAACATATCTACCCAACAGCAGGTACCAAATGCAAAAGGAATACACTAGAAGCTTTCATAATAAATATAGGAGTAAATCAAGGATGGCCACTATCCTTACTGTTATTTGATAGAGTTCTAGAAATGCTACCAGTAGCAGTAAGACAAGAGAAAGAAATTAAAGATGTAAAGGTAGGTAAAAAAAGGAGATAAAATTATCCCTATTTGCTGATGGAATGATGGCTTACTTAGAAAAACCTAGGGAATCAGCAAAGATAGTAATTTAGAGGATTAATAGCGTCAGCAAAATTGTAAGCTACAGAACAGACCCTCAAAATCAGCAGTTTTCTATATAATGACAAGAGGCATAATAGGAAGGGATATGGCATTGAAAATAAATACAAAATGGGTACACAAAAGATTTCTGAAGATCCACTTACAAAGCGCTCCTTACAGAGACAGAGAATAGCTGGAGGAATATTCAGGACTCACAGCTGGGGCAGTCCTGCCGAAGGAATTTACAGCTTTAGTGCTATACCAATCGGACTCTACAAGGGATACTTTACAGAACTGACAAAGTAATACCAGAATTCATTTGGAGAAACAAAAGATGTAGAACACTAAGGGAAGTAATGAGAAAAAAAAAAGATGAAGGCTGAATAGTACTTGCTTACCTCAGATTCTGTTCTAAGGCTGGCATCAAAGCCTTTGGTTTTGGTTAAGAAATGGAGAAGCAGTTCAATGGAACAAACTAGACGAGGGAGAATTAGGCAGTAGAATGTAATAACCTAGCGCTCAGTAAGCCAAAAAACAAATTTTTTTAAGGAAGAACCTTATTTGATAAAAAGTGCTGGGAAGTTTGGAATTAGGCATAGTAACAGATGTGCAAATCAAAACAATCTCAAGGTTTAACCTCATGTTGTGGAAATTATCAAAGATGACCAAAGATGTAAATGGCCATTGTTGGAGGGGTTGTGGAAAATTGGACACACTAGTACATTGTTGGTAGAGCTGTGAATCAGTGGAAGCATTCTAGAAATCAATTTGGAATGATGCAAATAAAGTGACTAAAATGTCCATGCCCTTTTACCCAGAGATTCCACTACTAGGCTGATAACCCAAGCACATTATTTATAAGAAAGTACCCACACATACCAAAATATGATAAAATTCTTAAAAGAAATACAGATGATTGAGGATATAAGGAACTATGAAAAAATTGATGAAATTATCCTCTTAAAAAAAAAAAAACAAACCAGAAAGATATATTGTTGGAGTAGAATAGAGACTCCAGAAGTAGTTTATAAAAAAGATTAATGCTTTACAACCAAAGATTTTAAAGTTAAAGGAATAAATAAAAGTAAAATTGTTGGCAAAATTGGATAGCAATGGGGTAAAAAGTGAATTCAGATCCACATCTCAAACTTATGATATGGTAAACTCCAACTAGATCTCTGGTCTAAATATATGCACACATTTATATATAGTTTAAGTTGGAAGAGTAAAGTAAGGTATTGATCACATTTGTAGGGAGGAGGGAAAATCTTTTAAACAAATGGAAGAAATTCTAGAGACAAAGGTGATAGATTTGATTACACAGAAAATAAGCAGTGTTTCAAAAAAATTATTAAAGAAAAAGACTGGGAAAAATTTTTTGTGGTAAATATATCTGATATCTCAAATTTATAAGGTACTGTTGCGTATCTTTTAAGAGTAATACCCATTTCCCAGTAGAGAAATGGTCAACAGAAATGAAGTATTCCTTGTAACCAGAATTTTCAAAAGAAGGAAAAAAAGCAGTTACTTAAAATTAAATCACCACATCAACCAAATGTTGACAGTATATGCAAGTGAACAGATAATTTTTAAAGGGGAAAACACTTTTAAGAACCACTTGAAAAGTTTGTTAGATTCTCTAGTAATCAGTCAATGAATTAACATTTATCAAATGCCTACTATGTGTCAGGCACTGGGGATACAAAAAGAGACAGGGGAGTACTTGCTCTCAAGGAACTCATAGTCTAATGAAGTACAATTAAAACAAATTAAAGTACAAATTACAGATTAAATACAAATTAAAACAACTTTATGCACTACTTTATACCCACCAAATTGGCAAAAATAACAATAGTATTGTTCAGTGTTGGTGGGGCTGTAAATTGTTAGGAAAAAGTTAGACAGACAATTATAAAATTCATTTGAAGGAAAGGTTTAGAATCTCAAGGGAAATGATGGAGGGGACAAAGAAGGAAATAAGCACTTATTAGGCACCTACTCTGCCAGGCTCTGTGCTAAGGGCTTTACTAATATTAAGTCATTTGATCTTCACAACAACCCTGGGAGGATGAGGAATGTGAGGCAAAACAGGTTCAGTGACTTGCTTAGGGTCACACAGCTAGTAAGGGTCTGTGGCTGGATTTGAACTCAGATCTTCCTGATTCCAGGCCCAACACTCCATGTACTGTGGTGCCACCAACTCCTTTAAGGGATGGGAGTTGGGGAATGAGGAACGAATGAAGGGATAATAGTTGTTCCATGATTCAGAATTTCTTATAAAGCAGTAATCATCAAAACTCTTTGGTATTGGTTAAAAAAGAGAAAAGTAGGTGAGTAGAACAGGCTCGATTATTTCAGTCCATAACATTGAAAGCTTTCACACAAACAAAATCAATGCAACCAGGACCAGAAGGAGGCCTTTAAGTGGAATGGGGGTGGAATTTTTCTGTGGAATGTCTGATAATGGTCTAATAGCCAAGATATAAAGGAAATTAACATAATTTTACAAGACCAAGAGACATTCCCCAGTGGACACAGCGAGTGGTCAGAGGATATGAAGAAATGGTTCTTAAAAGAGGAATTGCAAACTATAAACAAACATCATAAATGGCTCTGTATCATGAATAATAAAAGAAATTAAAATCGAAACAACTTTGAGGTTTCATTCTGATAAACTGGCAAAGATGACAAAAGATGGAACCTCGTCAGCGTCAGAGATAATGTGGAAAGATAGTAGCACTAATACATTGTAAATGTGAATTAGCCAGCCATTCTGGAAAGAAGTTTGGAATTATGCTTAAAAAGGCTAAAATGGTCATTCCACTGCTAGGCACACATATTTTTAAAAAAACCAAACATTAAAAAACAGAAGGAAAGGTCCCACACACACCAGAATAATCATAGCAGGACTTTTTGTGGTAGCAAAGAACCAGAAACAAAGTAGATACCTATTGATTAGAAAATAGTTAAACAGGTGTAGTACATGAATGTGACGGAATATTAAAAAACAAGATTTCAGAGTAGCAAGGGAAGAGTTCTATGAGCTGATTCAGAATACTTCACTAAGCAGAACCACGGGAGCAATATGCAACAATAACTGCAACCATTTCAATGGAAAGAACGATTTAAAAACAAAACCAAACCCTGAGCGCTCTGTAATTGGAACGACCGAGGTTGGCCTGGGAGAAGAGATGAGAAAATGCACCTCCTTCCTTCCTTTGTAGACAGAGGCAAGTTGACTGTGGTGTTGAACATCGCATATATTGTTAGACTCAGTTGAGGTGTTGATTGGTTTTATTGGGCTGCTTTTTTAATCCTCCTCTCTTTAAATAATTTGTTATAGGAAGTGACTTGTTAGTTGTGGGTGAGTGAAGGATTTATTCAGAAATGAAGGTGATATGAAAACAAAATATATGAATACCTCTTTTGGGTTAAAGTTAGAGGCAGATTGAAGCTTAATTTAAGAAAAACCTTCCTGAAGATTAGAGCTATCCGACAGTGATATGGGTTATCTCAGGAGGACGTGAATTCTCCATCATTGGACCTCGAGTGGAAGTTGGGTAGTTCAGGATGCTGTAGAGGGGGATTCTTGCTTGGGGTGTGGTTGGAGTAGAGGGTCTCTAAGGCTCTGTGGTCATGCCCTTGTTCTTACTAATTAATTGTATTGGGGTTTCCTGTAACCAAGTATGGCCTGCCACTATTGAAGGGAGAGAGTCTGACTCAGTAGAAAGAAGGCAGAGTGTGAAGTGAGGGGATGTGGCTTTGGGCCCTTGTGCTTCCTGGGTGACCTTGGGCTGTCTCAGACTCTGGGCACCTTGGGTGAGGTGAGCTCATGCTTTCGGTGCCCCAGGCTTCAGAGGGTCAGATGTGGTCACTTGCTGTCTTTGTCTCCTAGTTGATGCTGTCCGAGTGGCTGATTGACGTCCCTTCAGATCTGGGGCAGGAGTGGATTGTGGTGGTGTGTCCCGTGGGGAAAAGAGCTCTTGTTGTGGCCTCCAAGGTGAGTGACCAGGAAGGGGTTCCCCGTCGGGAGAGGGGACTTTGGTCCCTCTGGCTCATGGTGCTCATTTGGGAGCGCCTGGTTAGCTAACATGACTGCACAGGGAGGATGGGAGGACGAGGAGAAGAAAGCAGCTCATCCAGTGAGGATTTTAACTTCCTTTCCCAGGGTTTCACTACGGCCTACACCAAGAGCGGATACTGTGTCAACAGGTTTCCTTCCCTGCTTCCTGGAGGCAACAAGCGCACCTCATCCACGGGGAAAGGTAGCCTGTGAACACTTTTCCAATAGCACTCTTTCCTCCTCACCTGGAGCCTCTTCCCAAGTCATTCTAATCCAACAAGCATTTATTAAGCACCTGTTGTGTGCAAGCCTGCACTCTGTCCTAAGGACCCAAAGACAAAAATGACAAACATCCTGTTCCTCAGGGAGCTTATCAGACACAGGGCCTGGAGTGTGGTGGACATTTCATAAATGTTTATCAACTATCTGCTGACTTACATTGTCAAAATAAGGTTGGCCTGGTGAGCTTCTCCTTCCTTTTTTTCCATCTTTTTCCTTGGCAGTTGCTTTAGGGACCGTAGACACATTGGATTTCTCTAGAAGTCATATTTTCACAAAACTCATTAGGTGGGGAATGTTTGTATTCTAGTGTATCTGGCTACCTCTATTCCTCTCCACCCATCCCCTTCATTCAGTCAGGAAGCATTCATTGCTCTGCAATCTGGATTCCTCCTTCTACCACTCTGCTGGGTCTGTTCTCTCCAAGGTTCCCAGATATTTGCTATTTCACTTAACAAGCATGCATTTCCTTTCCGTCCTACCTCTTCCCAGCTGAAGAAAAAGAAAAGCTTAACACCAAAGAAAGAAATGCCCATTGTAGGGGCCAGGCACAGTGGATCGAGCTCCAGTCTTGAAGTCAGGAGGACCTGAGTTCAAATGCGGCCTCAGACACTTGATACTTAGTAGCAGTGTGACCCTGGGCAAGTCACTGAACCCTGATCACCTCACCAAAAAGGAAAAAAAAAAAACGTCCATGGTCAAGGAAGGTCAGTTCTCACACTGGCCATGTCCAAAAATGCATGTGCATTGCATACTGAGTTCATTGACTCTCCAGAAGTGGGCAGCACTCTTCATCATCAGTATTCTGGAGTCATGGTTGGTCATTCTTTCGATCAGCTTTGTATATAGCTAGTTTCTTACTGCCAAATACAGTGGCCAGAGTTTTCCCTCTTTAGTCTTGCCAGCATCTCTGTTCTTGCTGCTGTTGACCACTCCCTCCTTCTTGAAGAACTTTCCTTTCATAGCTTCCCAAACACCCATTTCCTGATTCTCTTAATACTTCTTTGCCATTCTCTCTCTGTCTTATTCCCTGGCTCTCCTCCAGCTCCTTCACTATGAATATTTTCTAGCTTCTCTCCTTGACCCTTAGGGTTCTGACCCTTAATATACTTACATTTATTGTGAATAAAAAGTCGTGCTGGATTTGGTGCCTAGACTTCATGGGTTTGAGTCATGATTCTGCCCCTCATTTCCTCCGTCAGCATGTAACCTTTCTGGGCCTCAGTTGTCTCTCCTGTAAGATGAGGAGTTGGACCAGAATCCCTCTGAGGGCCTTTTCAACTCTAAATCTCTGTTTTTCTCATTCACTCTTCAGGCACAATCCCTTCTCAGAATGATTCCCAAATTTTTTGTCTCTAGCCCTGGCTTTCTCAGCATATTTAAGTCTCCCAGGTCTGACTGCCTGCTCGACATTTTTACTTGGCTGTCTGAACCAAGCTCAGCATGTCAAAACAAACTCCTTATCTTCTCCTCCAGAGTAGTGCCACCATCGTTTTACTAGACTTCTGGGTTAGAAATTTGGTTATCTTTGATTCATCCTTTTTAAGACTCTTCTGTATTCAGTCTGTCAACAGGTTTCCTTTAAGCCTCATTATTTCTCCCCTCAAAAGTGTCAAAAAATATTCTATACTCATACTCTGCATTGTAGGCACAAGCCTACCAGAAACAATTTTATTAATTTTAGATTGATTCTAATTCTAAACATTTCTTCTTAGACCCAAAGATGGACAGTCACCCAAGACCTCTGAAACTCTTAACAAAAGCCATTTTGGAATTAAAATCTGTAGCTCTTCCACACAGTGGTCAAAATTCCACAATCAAAATTGAGCAAAGGTTCAGAGTTTAGCTGACAGTTCAGCTTACGCTTGGTTCCATCAAATAGACAAAGAGTCACTTGGGCACAGTCTTGGGAGAATCATTTTCCAGAATTCATTCAGTCCTTCCTCAGTCACTCCCTTCCAGGATTCCCCTTTGCACCTGTCCAAAGGTGAACTCCAGAGATACTTCCTCTGCCTCAAGTCATCAAAGGCTTCTTCCTTCACTGAGTCTGGTCATTGCCGTGTTCTGGCCAAGGCATAAGGAAAGAGGATACCACTCTCTTAAGCAGTGCAGTTCTGGTGCCCCAGTCCTGGCATGGCCCCAAATCCATCCTCCAAGAGAACAGAGTTCTTCCCTGAACTTTCCCCACTTTCTTCAAAGTAGTGATCAGGCTTTTGGTAAAGTGCTGAGCTTTGATTCAGAATTGATAGTAACATAAAGTTTTCTCTTTCACATTAGTCCAAAGGCTTCAGAGTAGGATATTGAGGAACATGCTTTCTCAGGATTTCTAAAAGAGGAAGAGTTGGGTGTGGGGGGTGGGGTCTTAGTCACTTCTACAAAAGAATCTTAGAATTCCCTTGTCTTCTCCATCTCTGACTCTCCACCTGATCTGTCTTTCTTAGAAAACTGAGACTGAGACTGCCTTCTTAAAAAACATTTTTCTTTTAAAAAAATGTTGATACATATTGTTTTGATCCAAAAGACATAGGCTCACAAGCATTTCCCTCCTTTTTTTTTAACCAGTGTTGTTGATTGTCTTGCTTTGTTTCCATAAAACACCATTTCTGTCATGTTACTCCGCTGCTCAAGAGCCTGGGTCATTCCCCATTACCTCCTTAAATCAACTACAGAGTTTTCTTTTTCCCAGAAGTGTGCCATAATGGGCCTCTGTTTTCCCTGCCCAGGCTGGGCCTCCCTTACTTCCTAATGGGCACCCTCTGCTTTGTGAAGCTGCTTTCCCCTTTGTCCACACAGCCCGTGAGGGAGGCTTCTTTCTGTCTTTGTGTCTTTGCTCATGCTCTTCCTTCTTCTTGAAATGCCCTTTCTCCCATCTGCCTATCAGAATCATACTACTGTAACCTATAGTGATCTCTCCTCAGATCCGTACTGTAGACTCAGTAATAATAATAGTTTACATTGATATAGCACTTCAAATTTTACCAAGTACTTCATGTGCATGATCTCACAACAATCCTATGAGCGAGATACTACAGCTAACATTCCCATTTTACAGATGGAAAAATTGAAACTAAGGTGATTTGCCTGGTAAGTGTCAGGATTAGAGTGACCCAAGCCCAGTGCCCTTTCCACTACCCCATACTGCCTTTCACTATCAAGTAATACTTAATTATTCTTTAAGTGCTTCATGTGACTTAATTTTATTTCTCCAGCTACAGAATAGAAGCTCACTGAGGACAGGATCTACATCTGATGCTTTTTAAATCTACTAGGGCTTATTGATTGATTGATAACAATGGAATGTTATTTTAATTTGGAGTTTTAGTAGTACATAATAAGTTGATTCTCTGGCTTTGGGTTGGGTTTCTTTATAGGTTGCTTAAAGATAGATTAGAAAACTAATTTGTGTCTATCAATTTGTATGCTAAAAAATTACTTCCATCACATTTACTTAGAATTAGAGATACCTGAACTAACTTTGCCTGTTCTCCTTGAAGATGGGCCATCTCTTTCTGACATTGCCCCAAAGAAAGACACATTCCTTGCTGTTTCTGTTCCCTCTCCCCCCACCTCCCCTCCCCGTTCAGAAGGGAGCCAGCCTGATGGCATCACTCGAGCGTGGGGTGGAATGCTGGTTGAACACTCCCCCCCTTCCCGCTGGTGCTGGGCAGGGGCAGTGGCACACACTGCCAGAGCTTTGAACCCTGGGGTTTTGAGGCAGCCTTTCTGACTTGCTGTGTTTGGTCCCCAGACTACACAATCCTGGATTGCATCTACAGTGAACCGAACCAGACCTACTATGTTCTAGATGTGATGTGCTGGAGGGGACACCCTGTCTATGACTGCCAGGTATGTGTCCAGTGCTTGGGGTGCCTCCTCTTCTGTTCCTGGCCTCTGATTATCTCAGTCGTTGTATGGGAGTAGTGCCTTTGGCCCTCAATGTCTAAGGGCTGTGGTGTATCTAATGTATCTTCAGCTTCCTTGAAATGATGTTTTTAATGGTGCTAAATGGAAAAAAGAAAATTTAGGGAGGCTTCAGGGGAGGTGAGAAAAGGAGCACACGAATAGGCTGGCACTTGAAGTTCCAGTTTCACAAATATTCGCTCTCCCTTCCACCTGAGCGTTAGTCTGACCTAGGGGAGAAAATGTAGTTAGGGGCAGGTGTGGTTGACTTCTGCATATCCTGAAAGTGGGGCCCAAGCAAGGCCAAGAAAGCACCTGCTCAAACATCTCTCCCTCCTCCGGTCCCTCCCCTTGATGCTCCTTCCTCGACGCAGCTGCCAGCGTGGCTTTCCTAAAGCCCAGCCCTGACCATGGCAGCCACCTGTTCCAAAGGCACCCATGGTTCCTCCTCTGGGTCTTAACCTGCTTACTAGTGGTCTGGTGAAGCCTCATCCCTGCTGTGCTTTGTTGCCTACATTCATCATGGAGGAAAATGTTAAATTTCAGTTCGAAGTTAGTGAAAATGAAAAATTTTTTTTTTTCCCCATCTGAGTTCACTGAACTCCTACAATCTATCCATGGACTCCTTTGGAATTCCTGGGTGCCAGGTTAAGAGCCCCTGGTCTTCAGGATCAAAGCCAGACTCCTTGGTTTGCCATTGAAAGCTACCTTTATATGGCTTATCATATATTACTCCTATTGATTCAGGCTGGTCTGACCCAAAATGGCTTTCTTGTTGTTGTGCCAGACACAAAGTTCATTTCATCCATTAGCACAGACTGCCCTACCCCCATGTCTGATATGTACCCCTCCTCCTGTCTGCCTCGAGAATCCTCAGCTCTCTGTAGAAAGCTCAGCTTTGGTGCAGCCCTCCCCTCTCAAGTGCTAGACCTTCCCTCTGAAAATGACCTCATATTTACTGTGGGTATGTATATGTGTGTGCATGTTGTTTCCTCAATAGATTGGAAGCTTCTTGAAATCAGGGACAATTTCATGTTTGCCTCTGTCTCCAGTGCTTGGCAGAGTGCTTAGTAAATGCTTGCTTCCTTGACCTTGACCCCATAGGAATGTTGGAGGAAAGAGGAGACGTCCAAATAAAGGGTCTTTGCGTGTGACCCTACCAGGATGCTCATTTTCCATATTAGAGTTTTAGCTGATGAGGATTTTCATCTCTTCCTCTGTCTCGTCTTCCCTTCTTCCGCTACCTCCCTCCCTTTTCTAGACTGATTTTAGATTCTACTGGATGCATTCAAAGTTACCAGAAGAGCAAGGACTTGGAGAGAAAACCAGGCTTAATCCAGTAAGTCTTTCATATTGAGATTTAAAAGATTTCTTACTGGGAGTTAGTTGGTTTATTTATCTATTTGTTATAACAAATACTAAACTATAAACTTCTTGAGATTAGACACTGGAGGTCTTTTTCATCTTTGTATCCTCCATGGCTAATATAATTCCTTGCATGTAGGTGCTTAAATATTAAAAAAAAATCAAATCATCTTCATTTGAGTATAATTAATCCACTGGCTTTATCTTGCTTTCATGGTCCTAATATTCCTTTTTAGAATCATAGCTATTCTGGACTGGCAAAAACCTTTGAGGTCATCTAGTCCAGTCCCCCCTTCATTTTACAGATCGAGGACTTGGGGTCCAGTGGGCCAAAGTGAACCCAAGAGTAGTACCTCAAACTAGTGGTAGAGTCTGCACAAGAACCCGAGGCCCTGCTTCCTCCTCGGGGGCTTTGATCTAAGATGGAGATCATGGTTTTTAGGTCATTCTATTAGTTAATTAGTTATTATTAATACTTATTAATGATTAATCTTTGCAAGATCATCCGGGTTTGAAGATGACTAGAAAGAAGTAGGTAAGGAGTGGGTCAGCCCTTTCAGTCCTCTCATTGCTGGGGTTGGGCAAGAACCTGGCCTTGGAGGCTGGGGAAGCAGGAGTTGTCCTCCCACCATGGGATTCTTGGGCGTGAATGTTGTTATTGGTGTAAAGAAAAGCCCTCCAGACCTTTATTAGAAACTCTGTTAGAGCTCTAAGAATGCCCCAGATCTCTTAACTTGATAGGATTTTCAAAGCTAGAAAGGGCTGGGATGGGGCACAGTTACTTAGAGGTAGGTTTAGGGAGAATAAAATTAAACTTGACCAAGAATGCCTGACCTTATGCTAAGAGTGCTGGCTTTGGGGTTACTCTCTAAATGGCAGAAATAAAGAGGAAATGCTTCAAATCTCACTGTTTTGACTTTCTGTGTTTTTATTTTCTTCTAGTTTAAATTTGTAGGCCTAAAGAATTTCCCATGTACCCCAGAGAGCCTATGCAAGGTCTTATCTACTGACTTCCCTTTTGAGGTAAGAAATCCCACCACTTTCCATCCTGAAGCAACTGGGGACGAGATGTTTCCTTACACTGGAGCCCCAGGACTATTTCTGACTTTTCTTGGAAAGGTCCTTAAAAGATGTTTGAGTCGAAGGTAAACTTACCTGAGAAGCTACATCCCCGGATTGGTAGAGTGGTATTCCATGTGTCTGCAAAGAGTGGGCTACTTTGCCTTAAGTGACTCACACCTTTGGGTTGGGAAGGAGACACAGACGGATGAGCTTTCGGGGTGTGCTGTCACCTTCTGGCCACTAGGGTACGATGTTCCTCAAGGATCTACTAGTGAAGCCCTTTGAGGACATGTCGTCCAGCCTCCTCTTTTACGTCATAGGAAGCCGAGGAGGTGGGGGCAGGAGGAGGAGCTGCCACTGGCTGCTGCCCAGTGCCCTGGTCTCCTGGGCTTAGACCCAGCTGTTTCTTGGGAGGGTATGTTGCCCCAGTATCGCATATCAGCTGGTCCACAGATAGGGACGGTACTGACGGTGTGAAAACCCCTGGTTCCCTATCATTACGTTATTATTGGAAAGAACCCTGGATTTGGGAGTCAGGAAGACTAGCGTCTGATTTGCGCTCTGCCACTTGTTTGATGTGAGACGCCTCTCTGAGCCTTAGTTTCCCCTTCTGTAAAATGAGGACATAGACTAGGCGACCTTTACAGTGTTTCTAGTCTAACAATAGTGTCCTCAGCAACCTGTAAACAATCTCACTGTAGGGTCATAAAACAAACCTTCCTTTGCCCATCCTCCCCACCATTTTAAATTATGCCCAGTCATCGGCCAATATCAGTTTGAATGGAAGATGATTTTATTAAAAGGATCATAGCCTGCAGAATGAGGAAATGCCAAGTGTTTGCTCATCCCAGGAAGTCAATTAAGAGAGGTAGTAAGAACACCACCCTTATTTATGGAGCTTGTGTGCTACATGACAATGAATTTCAAAGATGAGTCACTAAAGTATAAAAAACAGAATATAGGGTTATAGGAAATCCTTTAGGTGAGGCAGATTTAGACGTAGCTGAGATGCCACCCCTCCGCAGCGGCTTATTCAGCAATCTGAGTTAGCATTCCCATAACCCATTACTCTGAAAGCACTGGGAGGCCAAGCAGCACAAAAGGACTTGTGGATCATGATTTCTGTAACTGCTTTTCTACCTGGGCATCGATTTACAGTGTTTATCTTGCATGCTAGCATCTCTGCATATTTATTATATTCCCTTATTTCTTTTCTGTAAGGTTGGCATTTAGTTTAAAATTTTCCATTTCTAGTCTAACTTAGAGGAATCCCATTTGCTGGAACTCAGGACTCTAAATCCTTTCTCAGATGTAGGCTTTGAGAAAGGAAAAGGGGTGTGTCTAGTGATCAGCCTTGTAACTAGCTGTCCCCACATGTACAAACTATTTCTGAAGCCTCCTAGTCTCAGAACTGTGCATGTTGTGGAGTCTAGAATTGACTTGTCACTGATTTCCCACTTTGTAGGTAGATGGGCTCCTTTTCTATCACAAGCAGACGCATTATAGCCCAGGCAGCACTCCGTTGGTTGGCTGGCTTCGCCCGTACATGGTGTCTGATGTCCTCGGCATGACAGTACCAGCTGGCCCTCTGACCACCAAGCCCGACTATGCTGTCCATCAGCTCCAGCAGATCATCGAACACAAGAAGAGTAAAAAGGAAGCCAATGAAACGAATCTTGATGAGGCTTCTGAGAATGGACGCTATGAACTGGAGTACCTGTCCACCCCAAAGCTGGCAGATGCTCCCAGAAGCCAGAATGAAGCCACGAGCCTCATGGAGAACTGATGAGCTCCTTTGTCCAAGGGACCAAGAGGAACCACATGCCCTCATCCCTCTGTGAACTCTTCCCACCATCACTTGTTGCTCACCTGAAGGGATGAGCCTGAGGCCTGGAGACAAGACCCGAGACCGCCCCATTCTGTCAGACACACTCGAGCATCGAAAGCCTGAGCTGAGACCCCCCCCCCCCCCATTCCCTGGCAAGGAGAGAGATGTTCCCAGGATGGAGAGTGCTGCCTGGCAAGACCTTATGGCGATTTCCCCAAGCAGACGGTGTTCAGGTTGAGTTGAGCAATTTTAACCACTAAAAGTGTATCTCAGACATGCTGTGTAAACGTATGGAATTTCTAAGAACTGAGTCGTTTGTGATTTTTGTGCCTCAGTATAGCTGTGGACCTCCCCACCCTAATCAGGGGTGCTTGGGTCAGCCATTTGCCCTGAAGGGTTGTGCCTTGTTTTCTCAGGGATGGCATTATCACACTAGGTCTTAAACAGCTGCATTTGAGAACTCGCGTTTCTGCAGCTAGGAGATGTAGAAAATTTTTATGAGGCCAGGGTTCTTGGTCTCTGCGTTAGCTCTACCTTCTGAGAAGGAAAGAATGATTTTCATCCCTTTGGACATTACTGTAAGATAAAATTTCCTTTTAACTGATGAAAGTTTATGAAACTGACCAAATGGCCTCTTATTTGTGTTGGTGAGAATGTGCCCCCCTTGGGCCTTCTTGTTCTTGTCTCCTCAACTTTTCCTTACTATAGTAGAGTGAAACTTGTGCCTTGTTTCTCCTAGGAGGATGCATGCTTCCATTTCCCATCATACTGTTGAGAAACAGCACTAGTAATTCTTCAAGGGACACAGGTCAGACCTTGTCTCTTTTAAGACATGGAGCTGCCACCACATTTTATTGTGTAAACTGGGAATGAGAATGGGGCAGAAGTGGGAGCTCAGTGGAGCGCGATTACACCCATTCAGCATATCCGCTGAAAGGAGCCGTGGTGACTGGCACTTAGATATCCGCTGGAGCTGACTCTGTAAAACCTGAGAAGGATACTTTCAATTGGGCTACTGACTGGAGAGTCAAGAGTTTTAGTTTGATTTTCTTTTGAATTCTAAAATTACTCTATGACAGTAATTTTTGTTGTTTTTTCAGATGCTTTGGTTTTCTATTCATCTCTGTGAATCCATCCAAAATTTCAGGTCTCAAAGTACTTTTAACTGACAATAAACAAGGTTTGGATAAGTTTACAGCTCCCATTTGTCTTGTTTGAGACCAAATGAGAGAAGACAAATTCATGTCCAAGCTCTGCAAAAACAGAGCCCCCCAGAAATAAAGTCAGTATGTTAATCTACTTAATCTCAAACATCCTTTTGAGCATAAGAACTGCTCCAACTGACATGTTTTTTCTTGGTGGTATTTAATATCTGACCTGGATAAATTTCATTGAAAAATAAAAAAAATACAAGTCATGTGGATGAGTAGCACCTATCCAGAAATGGCTGAGTACTCTGCTCTCCATCCAAAGACTAAGGCCCAGGCAGCATTTTTTAAAAAACATTTTATCACTTCGTTTTTATTTTTTAAAAACAATTTCTCAATTAAAATTTTAACATTTGATTTTTAAAATTTTGAGTTCCAAATTCTCTGTCTCCTTGCCCCTTGTTGAGAAGGCAAACGGTTTGATATAGATTTCACACGTGCAGTCATGGAAAATATTTCTATATTAGCCATGTTTCAAAAGAAAACATAGACCAAAAAAATCAAGAATAATAAAGAAAATAAAAATATGTTCCAATCTGCATTCAGACTCCATCAGTTCTTTCTCTAGAAGTGGATAGCATTTTTCATCATAAGTTCTTCAAATTGTCTTAGATCATTGTATTTTTGAAAATAGCCAAGTCATTTGTAGTTGATCATCATACAGTATTACTATTATTGTGTACAATGTTCTCCTGGTTCTGCTCACTTCACTTTGCATCAGTTTGTATAAATCATAACAGATTTTTCTGAAATTGTCCTGCTGGTCATTTCATACAGCACAGTAAGTAGTATTCCATCACAATCATATAGCACAACTTGTTCAGCCATTTCCCAGTTGATGGGCATCCTCTCAATTTCTAATTCTTTGCCACCACAAAGAGAGCTACTATAAATATTTTTGCACATATAGGTCCTTTTCCTTTTTTTTTTTTTTCCAAATCTCTGAGATACAGACCTAGTAATGGTATTGCTGGGTCACAGGTATGCAGAGTTTTATAGCCCTTTGGGCATAGTTCCAAATTGTTCTTCACAGTGGTTGGACCGGTTCACAACTCCACCAACAGTGTATCAGTGTCTCAGTTTTCCCATGTTCTCTCCAACATTTGATATTTTCCTTTTCTTTCAATCTGATAGATGTCAAGTGGTACCTCAGAGTTGTTTTAATTTGCATTTCTCTAATCATTGGTGATTTAGAGCACTTTTTCATAAGACTACAGAAAGTTTTGATTCTTCTGAAAACTGCCAGGGAGCATTTTAAAAGGCACAAAAAGAAGCCTGCATGGGTTCTGGGTATGGGTTCAAAATCTCACTTTGATGTGACATTGGGAGATCACTTCTCCTTGAGCCTCAGTTCGTTCATCTGTAAAATGAAGAGGCTTGAGATGATTTCTTAAGTGTTTTCTGGTTCTTAAATCTGTGATCTAATGTAGGGGACAGACCAGCTCTCATCAGCTGAACTAGAAACTCTGCTTGTGGGGTTCTGGTCATCCTTTGTGGTCAGGGAGTGGCCCTGTCGAGTTGGCTTGTGTTTGCTGCAGCCTTCTAGGAACCACTGTTATTTTTAGCACTGTGAAAGCAATTAAGAGAAATAACCTAAAAATACTTTTCTCTGTATATCAAACCTTGGGGGGAGGGGAAGAAAGAACCCTCCTCAGGTATATAAGAACACAGAGCCACTAAAAAAGAGAAATCCTAAAAAAAAGGAATCTTTTAAAGCAAATATGTTCTTTTGTTTCAACTTCTTTTATATACAAAGGAGGAACAAATTGGCAAAACAGACAAAAAAATTGAGATTTTATCCCAGCCAAGCAAGACTGACAACTTCCTTGGGCACCCTTTTTCCTTACGTCATTGAAGACCAAGGTTTCATTAATCATTTCGTTTCCATACGGGTTCTAACAACAGATGAGGGTACTGGATTGCATTTAGGCTCATTTGCCCAGTGGTCCTACCATCAAATGACCAAGGATGAAAAACAGAATGAGAAAACACTTAGAAGGGGAATCACTTGTTACAACCTGGTTTTGGGGTGTGGTGGGAGCAGCCCAGTCTGTGGAATACCCAATGATGTGAAAAGGAGGCTGGCCTCTAATTGTGACTCAGGCCTTTAACAGTGACTCGGGAAGACCTTTGTTCCCTCTGAAGCACAGAAAGAAAAAGGGCTTGAGTTAACAGGAGGCACCATGTTGGCAGTGTCCTGCCCAAAAGGAGATCCTACCTAGGCCCGATAATGGCTGCCCTAGATTGTTGTTCCAAGAGTTGTCTCAGATTAAAGTGCAGACTGGAAGCAAAGCAGTTGTTTTTAATACATTAGTGTGGACGTATTTCAGATTCTTTTTTGAGTTGCAGCTCAACTGAAGAAGAAATGGGCATCGGGGGAGGAAGAAAGATGGATGATGACCCTGGATGGGAACTCCATTCAGGCCCTCTGAAGCCAAGGGTCAGCACAAAGGCCAGAGTGAGGGGGAAAGGAGGCCGAGCAGTACACATGATCAAAAGGGGCAGAGCACCTCATTTTTGCCATGTGACAGCTCTTGCTAGTAGGCTTTCTCCTTTTCAGAGAAGGAACAAAGCAGAATTGTGATGTAATGGAAAGGGCATTGGCTTTGAAATCAAAAGACCCAGGTTCAAATCCTAAGTCTGTTTCTTCACTCTGCTCATTATGTGACGCTGGACCAGTCACCTCTCAACCTCGGTCTCCTCATCTGTAAACCTAGAGGGTTGGATTGAGTGAATGAGCACTAAATCCTATGATCCCCTAGCTTTTTAAAGCCTACAGAGACACATTGGAAACAGATGGGGTAACCAGGAGTTCCTTAACAAAATCTTTTGCATTTAGTAAACCCAAAGACCTCTAAGGCTGGTGGTGACTTTTCTCAGGCCACTTCCTTCTTCAAGTAGTTTCTCTCATCACCTAAATATTACCACTGGCTATCAAGTTGGCTGAGGAAATTTTTTAGTAGCTTTGATAAAAGATTTTTTTTTATTTAGTATTTTGTTTTCCCCCAGTTACACGTAAAAAACAATTTTAACATTCATTTTTAAAACGATAAAATATTTCTTAAAAGGGAAAGTTGAAACTGTGGCCAAAGGATGTGTCATGTCTGTGTACTTCATGTGTCCATCTTGCTCTTATTCTCCATTAATTCAGATAAGTAAAAGTTGGCTGTGTTTGTATAACATCTCATATCTTGAATATAGTGACCATTCTCCCAAGCAAGAAAAAAAGGGCATTTAGATCAACCAACCACTCCTGGCCCCAGAATAGGCCTGACCTGATGAGTGACAGGTTAAAAATAGTAACAACCACTGGCATTTATAGGGGGCTTTAACACTGGCAAAGCAGAGTCTGTACAGTATCTCTTTGGAGCTTCAGAACAGCCCTGCAAGGTTTAAGTCCTGGAGGTATGAGTAATTCTGCAAGAGATGAAACAGAATCAGAGATGGCCAATGACTTGTCCAAGGTCCCATGGTTAGTTGTCTGCTGGGATGTGAGCCCCGGGCTTGTGCCTTTAGGTCTAGTATTCTATATTGCTGTCCCTACAAAACTCACCCTCCCAGAGAGCCATTCCTTATAACAGAATCTTTTTTTAAAAAGAAGAAAAACTCAAAACCAATCAACGTGTGTGTGTGTGTGTGTGTGTGTGTGTGTGTGTGTGTGTGTGTGTGTAAATCCGACATGCAATATTCCTCACCTGGGCCTTGGTTTCATTTTTAACTTGTTCTCACCTGTTTAAAAATGATGGTGAGTGCCTGGCAACAGTGTGATTCAAGAATCATCCCAAGTCTCCAATCTCCCATAAATGCTGGTGGCGAGTCCCACGAAATGGGACAGCTGGCTACGCGTGCTGTTTCCACTAGACAGGAAGGAGCGCAGATCTAAAACGAAATTTTATCTCTGGAATCACATCCTGTACTCTTGATTTCATATAGATTTGTCAACAAGAAAGAAAAATCAGCATTCTTTCTCTGGCTTCATCTGTCAGCAATCTGATAGGTGACATGGGGCAGAGCCTTAGTGCTTCTGTGACATGAGAAAAAGTATGCTAAGAATTGTCTTGTTGATATTGCTGGTTTTTACATCACCTTCACTTCTGAATACAGTCCTCTACCATCCCCTATCTAATAAACCCTCCTTTGTGACAAAGAATAAAGAATGCGGAAAGCAATTCTGCAAAACCAGCTAACACATCAACCAAGCCTGACAGTGTCCATGTGCCATATTCCATATTCCAGGCCCTCACCCCCATCCCCAGATTCCCACCACTGCAAAGAAGGGGGAGAGGTGCATTTTGTTTAACTCATCAAATTTCTTGAACATTATGCTTGTAACAGTCAGTTTTGGTTCTTAACATTATTTTAGTGTTCATATGACCTCCCTTTTGCCCCTCAATACTTCTCTGAACTCTTCATAT